GAGGAAACAATACAGTCCCGATGTATCTCACAATCAGTGTATATTGATGTGCGAAATCCGGCAGTTCACTTGCTGATATTGATAACGAGGACGTTATCAATACCGATATTAGAGTACTAAAGCTTTATTATCAATATATCCGTGCAATACACTCCAAATTGTACTAGAACTATTTAATTGCTACTGTATGAAATATTTTTCAAACTTTTTCTCATTTGTCATATTAATGCCGTAAGGAACATTAAAAAACTAATATCGCACGGAATCGCGCCCGATAATAACTCCGAGATATAGAAAATCAGAAGAAATCAAACTAGTGGTGTGTAATGCATCGTGCCTTAAGGCAAATTACTGGAACTTTCCGTTCCGTAATTAAAAATCTTGGTACGAAACCCCAAAAAAAAATTACATAAAATGTGTACACATTATTAAAATTTCTATAAAACATCTGATAATTTGATGTACATATGTCCAATAAAACATTTTTCACGGCCAAATGATATTTTTTTTAATTATTTTCATTGAGGGTTCATAACCGCTGGACCTGCCTTTCAAAAATTTAATCCATTCTTCATCTTGTCAATAGAAGTAAAATGTTGTTTGAATTATTAAAATCGTTCTCTTTAAAACAACCGAGTTACCCTTTTTGGCACTTTTTGCCCCGTATCTTCGGAACGGCTAGATCTGCCTTGCCAACAACTAATCAGCACTATTATTATCAATACGAATCGAATGTTTTCTAAATTATTCAAATCGGTTATTAATACTGTCGAAAATGTCTAGAACATTTGCTTAAACATATACGTGAAATTTTAAAATTAAAAGTCTTGGTATGGAACCCAAACCGCTGGACCTGCCTTCCCAAAAATTAATCAGTTCTTTATCTTCGTGCCCTGGCACAACCGTACCCCGTCTCTCCTACTTATAATTACTGTTAAAAAAAACAAAATATTGAAAAAACCAAAAACCTAAATTATAACGAACTTTAGTTATACTGCCTTTGTTAATTTTGAATAACTTATTCAATATAAAACTTGCAAACAAAATTATTGCATATTTTGTTATCTACAAATCAATTTTGCAAAACAATAAAAATACTGGTATAAAATTGAATTACAAAAGTGCACATTCGCGAACAGATAATTGTCCCTGTTGTTCTCAAATGTTGAAATAGTAGATTTCCAGAATTTATGATTAAATTTTTCTTCAATAAAATATACGTTCGTGACTGACCACGATAAATGCACGAAGCTTTTGTTTATGCTGTAGTTGAACATTAAATGATTTATAATCGTAAAATAGAAAAAACAAATAAGAACATAAAATTATGTAGTTAAAGTGCTGATGGTTATATAATTTATCAAAGGCAAGGTTTTGAATGTACGCCATAAATAATAATTTTATATTTTTGTTTATGATAACAAACAGAGTTATTATAAAATATGTAATTTATTTTATAACGTTTTGTTTTGAGCTTCATGTAGCTAGCAATCATTAATGAACAATTATGAAACAAAAACTATAAAAAAGACTATAAAAAAGAGCAGCGGTTGAAAATGTTCACCACTAATATCTCACTTAACTAAAGTTAAGAACAATATTTGAAAGTAGAGGAAAAAAGATGTACCTTAAAAACAAATTTGAAAAGATGTATGCCATTACCTTGATTCTTACGAATTCGCTACCAGGAGACAAACGGCAATATTTTAAAATCCATAACAAAAGTATTGTCCTTCGTTGTTATTTTTTTTTTGGTTGTGAGCACTGTTGTTTAGTTTAAGAGATGTTAATAAAATTTTTAAATCTATGTTATTCAAGTGCTGTGTAATATGTATTGTTATTTTTGAGTTTGATTCAACAGTTTTTTATATGACCTCTATAAAACATTACATGTGGAAGGAGTCAAAAAACAACGGAGGCTTTACCCTGAAAAGTTGTAAAAAATAAAAAATAGTAAATAAAAAAATAAAGTAACTTAAAAAAGCAGTTTTACAAGAAGTTGGTGAAATACATAGTTGTTCCAACTTTGGACCCAAAGTCGAATTTTGATATCATACTGCTTGATATCGAGCTAGCCGAGGTTTGGAATTGAATCCCGAACTAGTTGGTGCTAGTCCACGTTCTTACTCACTATATCCATATGGGTTCTATTATGAAAAAAATTTTTTGGTTTAGATTTATAGCAAGTTTCTGTGAACTCCCTTATTCCTGATTAGATGTTCAAGTATATCGATACCTGTAACAATTAAATTTGGCCCAATTTTATTAGTGATTATAAATTATGCAAGTCAATTAAGGTACGATGAAGGTATAATTACAATTTGCACAAATTACCATTATCTTGCAATTTCAAATTACAACAACAACGTTCAGTCTTATGTATATTATTATGTTGTGTTCCAAACTGTACTGATACACAAACATCAATACAAAACTGAACATCTACGCAAAATCATCGAC